TAGCTGATTCAACAGATTTGTAGAGGATCATCTCAGCCAAACTGCTTGCATCTGCACCATCTTCTCCATTTCTGTTTGTTTCCATCAACGTATTTCCATGTGCTGTCCCATCACTCAAGAACATTGATCTCATCTTAGGGACTGCCCTGCAGGAAACAGACGATGCAGCACTGACCACACGGTCAGGAAGTCAGCTCTACATCCTGGTTGTGGACCCAGCTGGAGCGCACTCTGTGACTTTGGAAAGCCCTTCATCTTCCTCTCTGAGCTTGAGGTTTCTCATGTTTAAGTAAAGAAGTGGATCATGATAATCTCAAAGTGTACTGCCTGTTCTAACTAGATGGAAGGCTGTGTGATCAGGGAAGTTGCCAAGAGCTGATAAATACCGGGTGCATGTTTTTGACGCCTCGGATTGGCACCCTGAGAAGGACGACACACATGCCCAGTGGAAAGAGAGCGTCCCTGGTCCTGTTTTGGATAGGGCATCAGAAGCACTTAGAGTTTTCTGTAACCTTTGAGTGATGCTCAGTTGTTCTGTCTCAGGGATGACCTTGAAACCTCAGAGACAGACAGAAGGCTCCCAGCCTCTGATGGGCGCTCCAGGTTGGTGGATGCTAGATCCAGCAGGTGGAAGTAGGGAGCAAGAATGCGTCCTCTCACTGGCACTGAACATTTGATGTTTGTTCTTCTCAAGCTACTGTGCATATTTCAAAGGGCTGTGTGTGTGTGTGTGTGTGTGTGACCTTAACAGTGCCTGAAAGTCACAAACCCACTTTCTGACCCTCCCCCTGACTTCCTGCCTGGAGTTATTCACATGTCAGATATGCCTGTATTAGGTTCTAGGTTATTTGGAGCTTTAGTGCAAAGAGCTTGAAAACCTCCACCTGCTCTGGCCTTCTCTTTTACAGATGGTGTCAGTGAGGTTCAGAGAGTGTGTGGAACTTCTCTGAGTCTAAGTGGATTGGGCACAGTACTGCCTGCTTCTGAATCCAGCAAGGACAGAGAATAGCAGGTACCTGGAAGGAATATGAGGCTGGATGTCTCAATAGGAATGAAAATATTCTCTTCTCTGCCCAGGTACAGGCTCCCAAGTCAGCAGAACCTGGTCCAAATGGGGACATGGAACTGACGGATACTTGGTCCAGAGTCATGTTTCCCCAATTGGGCCCCTTATCATGATGTATATCCCTTTTCTTTGAGTGAATAACTACCCCTTCAGACTATACACGATAAAAAAATTTTTAATGCCAGTGCGCTCCACATGTCAGAAGACAAATGTTCAGGCATCAGTCGGAATCTGAGAAATTTACATTTACAAGAATTTGATCAAATCAGCAAGTTCCAATGTTAGGTAGAATGAACATATGTCTAGGAGAAAGGGAATCGGGTCTTGGTGGCCCTGATTTGCTGAGTGAAATTGGTAAAAGCATTTCTTCCTAAGTTTCTCCTTGTACAACTGATATAAAACAAAAAGGGAAAGCACATCTACCCACAGACTTTTCCTTCTTGTTTAATTTTGTTTGTTTATTTATTTTGGCTGCGATGAGTCTTCACTGCTGTGCACAGGCTTTTCTCCAGGTGCCGCGAAAGGGCGCTGCTCTCTAGGTGCGGTGTGCACGCTTCTCTGCGGTGGCTCTGCTTCCTGCAGAGCGTGGGCTTCAGAGCACACAGGCTCGGTAGCTGCAGCTTGTGGGCCTGTTGCCCCACTGTATGTGGGTTCCCAGATCCCGGCCCACGGATCAAACCCGTGTCCTTTGCATTGGCAGGTGAACCCAACTGAACCACCAAATGAGTCCCCTCTACAGACATTTTATTGTCCCTGACCCCTTGCTTCATCTTTTGAGCTATTTAAAACCCTAAAAGATGATTCTTGAGAGTTCCTTGGACAGCACGAGATCAAGCCAGTCAATCCTAAAGTCAATGCTGAAGCTGAAGCTCCAATACTTTGGCCACCTGATGCGAAGAACTGACTCATTGGAAAAGACCCTGATGCTGGGAAAGACTGAAGGCAGGAGGAGAAGGGGGCAACAGAGGATGAAATGGTTGGATGGCATCACTGACTCGATGCACATGAGTTTGAGCAAACTCTGGGAGATGGTTAATGACGAGGAAGCCTGTCTTGTTGCAGTCCATGGGGTCACAAAGATCGGTCATGACTGAGCAACTGAATGACTGAAGAATAATAACAATCACCACTTCCTTGGATTGTTTTGTTAATCTGGTGCCAAAATCACCAAGGGAGACTGTGCAGGGGCAAAACTATTGCAGCCTTGAAAGTTGCTATGAAAGTAGAGCTTTACTGTTCTCACCATAACAATAACAACAATAAAATAGCTATTACCTGAGGAGAAGGATTTATTAACTATTCTTATTCTCGCAAATATTTTGCAGTGTATACATATATCAAATCACCAGGTTATACACCTTACACTTATACAATGTTATATGTCAATTTTATCTCAATAAAATGGAGGAAAGAGACAAATCAAAGGGGTAAATATTTCTGTCTTCACTATACAGAATCTTCACATTCTGGAACATGTTAATTATTTATGCAAGACTTTTTTATTTGCTACGTGAATACTTGTTTACATTTCTTTTATAAAGTTATCCCTTGTCTCATTAAGTTAATTTGTTGAGTGGTTTAATTGTGTTGATATTAGTATTGGAAATTCTTCCCATTTTCTGATTATTGCTAGTTTATAATAAAAATAGGATTCATGGGAGTTCCCTGGGGGTCCAGTTAGGACTTGATCCTTTCACTGCCATGGGCTGGGCCTGGGTTCAGTCCTTGGTTGTGGAACTGAGATCCCGTAAGCTATGTGGTGCAGCCAAATCTTAAAAATAAAATAGGATTTAGTTGCACCCCAATGTTCATATAGCCCTCTTCAAATAGCCAATACATGGAAACAACCGAAATGTCCATCAATAGATGAACAAAAAAAAAAAAAAACACCAAAACCAAGTGGATGGATAAAGAAGGTGTGATATACACAAAATGGAGTGCTATTCAGCCATAAAAAAGAATGAAATAATGCCATTTGTAGCAACTTGGGTGAACCTAGAGATTATCACACTAAATGAAATAAATCAGAAGGAGAAAGACAAATATTATATGATGTCACTTACATGTGGAATCTAACATATGACAAAAAGGACCTTATCTATGAAACAGAAACAGACTCACAGACATAGAGAACAGTCTTACGGTTACAAGGGGGTGGGGGTGGGGAGGGATGGATTGAGAATCTGGGATTAGTAGGTGCAAACTATAATACATAGAATGAATAAACAACAGGGCCCTCCTGTATAGCACAGGGCACTATATGCAATATCCTGTGATAAACCATAACGGAAAAGCGAATGAAAGAATGTGTATGGATATGTATAACTGAATGTCTTTGCTGTACAAAAGACATGAACACAACATGGTAAATCAGTTATACTTCAATAAAAAATTTTGAAAAAATTGGACTTCTCGTCACTTACTAGCTCTGTGTCTTTGGGTGATTAATGATGCTCTCATGGCCTCAATCTTTTTGTTGTTGTTGTTGTTGTTGTTGTTGTTGGCTGTGCTGTGTGGTTTGCAGGATCTCAGTTCCCTGATAGGGGATCAAAGCCACAACCTCTGAACTGGAAGTGCAGAGTCTGGCCCATTGGATTGTCAGGGAAGTCCCATGGTTTCAATCTTTTAACAACATTAAAGAGGTGTATATGACCCATCTGAGGGAGTTCTAATGAGAAATAAGACAATACTTATGACAAGTTTAGTACAGGATCTGGAAGAGACAAAACACTAAAACAGAAACCGTTCTCTCCACCAGTGGTGTATTATGTTTCTCAGGCCAGAAGTTTAGGCCCTGCTCTTGTCTGTGCTCCAAGATGCGTGGTCCGGTCCATCCCCTGGAGAATCAGAGGGGAACCCTGGCTCCTGGGGCGTGGTGTCTAAGGGACACTGGGCTATCTGTACTCTCACTCCCAACAAAGCCTCTGCTCCCCACCTCCCCTCTAGCACAGCCCAACACACACACACACAAAGAAGACATGTTTCAGGGCCAGAATATCAGGGCTGAACTGACATTCATTACTAGACTTCCAGAAGAATTTCACCCAACTCCCCTCAAACTGAATAGACAGAACTGAGGCTCAGAGAGAGAAAGAGATTTATCTGCAGTCATCTAGCAAGTTGGGAGGAGCCTAGAGCGAGAACTCAGGTCTCCTGACTCCCAAGTGGGGTGCCCACTGAGCCCCAGTGCCCCTCCCACTTCTTCCTGGAGAACTCCATTGCACAAGGGCAGTGGGGCGGATGAGCCAACAGCAGAGCCATGACGTCATCCAAGGTTACCCAACATACGCCTTCCCGCTGTCTTCACTTCTCCAGTCTACTCTACCCCAACTTGTATGTCCCCAGAGAATGTTATTCAGCAACGACATGGAAGGATCGATGTGTCTTGCCTCCTCATTCACATCTTGAAATAGAAAGCTGGGAGAGGATATTGCTTCACCCAAAGGAATTATGTGTTATTGGAGGTCATCTCAGGTGTGAACAGGTGAAATGCTTTGAGAGCAGGGATTTCCTGGCATCTGTCTTTTTGTCTTCTTGGAGGATACAGATTCATGGGAAACGTAAGAGAAAGGGAAGGAGGGAGCCAGAGGTTTAGCCAGGAGGGCTGGCTGGTCACACTGGCAGGGTTGATCACAGCCAGGTTAGAAGTGGAGGTCAGTGGGAAGGTTTGGGGGGTTTATTTCCCTGGTCCGAGGCTAGAGGCCAAATGTCTTGGTTTCCATCTCCTGGTGAAATGGAGGCTGCAGTTCTTGGGTTGATTTTTGGATTTCTGCAGTGAATCCTAGGAATAGGCCTCATGTTCCTGCCCCTGCTCTCCTTCACACCCCAAGAACATCTGCCATGGGTCCCACTCCACTCTCCATTGGGGGCAGGAGGTCTCAAACTCACACCCAGAGCTCTCGGGAGCCCAGAAGTCACAGGAGCCAGAAACAAATGGAGTTGAAAGCAGTCTTTTATTGGCAAGTTCACGAGGGAGGCAGTCCATGCTCAAGCTGGGCCTCCTGGATGAGAGGAAGAAGGGGCAGTGTGGGAGAGGGTCGTGCGACAGACACCGGGGCTACATCCCTGGGGACGTCACAGGTGCAGCAAGAAGACTCTACCTGGCAGAAGAAGTGAGTCGGAAATGTGGGTCAGCAGGTGAAAGACTCAGAGGCAGTGGGAGGCCCAAGTCTACATGTCATCCTTCTCAGGACCCCAGTTATAGCCTCTGAGACCCCTCAGTCTCTCCATCACCTCCCCATGTCCTTTCCCCCACTAGCCTAGGATCACCCTCCACCAGTCAGCCTCTCTGTGCCCTCGCGGGTCACCCTTTCCTCCACCCAGTTCTCACCTCACCGGGGATCCATACAGGCCTTCCCACAAAAGCCTTCACAGCACTTCTTGGCCCCTGGGCACTGAGCATCTATCAGACACTTGTTACGGGGATTCACCAAAAGGCATTTGTACGGAAACCAGGGGCAGGATCCACGCTTGATTAAAAATATGGCTCGGTCTTGTCCTAAGACTAGATCTTGTCCTTTGACTGGGTCTTGACCTTTCACTGGATCTTGTCCTTTGACAGGAGATTGACCATTGATTGGACCCTTTCCATTGGCTACAAGATTTTCTTTCTTAATGCCTTGACCTTTTGGGCGACCTGTTGAAAGAAATATCCCTACTATTACTAATATTTAGACCAGCGTGTCTGCTTCAAATATCTAGTCTTTCCTCCTGGTCCAGCCACTGCTCACTGCGGTGTCCCTTAAGCTAAGGGACACTGAGACAGAGGAGGCTCACCAGGGCTCGCTGGGGTCTGCACTCTCAGATGGCTGGTCCCTGGGCTTTGGGGAAAAGGTCCATAGGACCAGGTTTCCTATGGGTGTCCATTTCTTCCCCTCACCCTCCATTCTGAGTCCTGGGCCTCATGAGGATATGCCAGGAAGGAGTGACTTTCAGGAGATGAGGACACATTGTCATCTTTGAGGACACTTGGTGGAAGGGCAAGGAGCTGTGAGACACATGCCAGGAGACCTGAGCTCCAGCCTGGCTCTGGAGATTGCCCTGACAACTCCTCACCTCACTCTGGATCTCAGTGTCTGCTTTGGAAAACAAAAGTCTTCAGACTCCACGATTTCTGAGGCCCTGTTAGTTCTTAACCTCCTCTTACAGAACTAATGATCAAGTGCTTTGATGGAACAAACAGGCAGGGAAGAGACCCCCACAACCAGGGCCCAGGTTCCTGGGGCTCCTCACTTCATTGCATGCTCTGTCCAAGTATCAGTGCTTGAGACCAAGGTCATGTTACAACACTCCTTCCACAAACAGCCCTGATTTCTCAGTCCTGGGGCAGTATGTACACGGAGTCTAGCGGGCAATTTCCTGGATACAATCAAAACCTGCTGTCAAGGCTGAAGAGTGGGCTCCAGCTCTGCATATTGCCCCTGTCAAGACCCAGGCTGCCCCCAACATCCTCTCCTCAACCCAAGCCAGCCCCACCCAGGCCACTCGTCCACTCACCTGTTACGACAGCTGCCTCTGCCACCAGCATCCCAAGGACAAGAAGGACCACCACCTGGACCAAGAAGCTTCTGGTCTTCATGTTGTCAGGAAGGTGTATGACTGAGAGCTGAAGCTAAGCCTAGTTTTATGCGGCTTCAGATTGGTCAGGTGCCAAGGGTGGATCTGTGGTTTCACAAAGGATAAGACTTACTTTTTCTTAGTTCTACCAGGAAATATCCACCCCCATCCTGGGAGGGACTTTGGGCCCTTCCCCAGGGATTATCCACAGGGAGATATGGTGTCTGCTACTTCATTTCTAATAGTCCCAAGGGCTGTCTCACATCCTCAGAAAGAGGTATGGCTGTCTGGTCTATAGGCATCATCATGACCAAATTCTTTATACTTAAAGAGTATGAAGACCAAAGGAGAGAGAGGAATCACCCACAGTCATTCAACAAGTCAGTGGTAGGTCCAGTGTACTGTTTCCATAGCCAAGGTGTTCCCCCATTACTCCCCAGCTCCTGCAAGCCCCACCCAGACCTAACAGTTTACCCTTCCCAGCCCCGAGCTAGGCTTTTCTTTCATTCTCCCCCTGATCCCAAGGAAAACTCTCAAAGGCAAATTTTCCTTGAGTGTTTAATGACTAATCATAATACTTTGCTCTTTCACAGGCAATCCCTGAAGTGGACCAAGAAAGTAATAGGGAAGGTGGCATTCGACATCTGGAGTGGCATGACGCTCTTGAAATCTCAGTAAGAAGACAGAAAACACCCATAAAATAAAAGGAAGAAAGTAGAAATCATCTAAAGGTGGATATCTACAATGTATACATCCAACATGACTTCTGCCTTTTTAGAACAGGCCCTCTGTTACTTCCGAAGAACTCCTGGTTCTTTGTACCATCAACTTAGGAATCTAATGGGAATTTTTGATCATGAAAGCCTGACACCCAGTCACAGATCAGGGTGTGTGTGTGTGTGTGGTTTATTGACATCCTTTATTTAAATGGACACTAAGGGGAAGTCCCTCGTTTTGGTAAACGTCGGAGAAATGAGCCTGGAAACTCCTGAAGCTATGGTTCCAGTCTGGGAGAAGGAGAAATTTTGAGAAAAGTAAATCTAATTCAATTAGAAAAGCAGAGGAATGATGGTAAGAGAGGCTTCAGAATGGACCAGTCAGCCCTTCATTCCCCGTTATCTTGAGAGCACATCTTCCGCACCTTTCCCACAGTTCGGTTATGACCCAATAAACTGCCTAAGCTAGTCTGAGTTGGTATTTTGTCACTGTTGTCAAAGTTCAGAGTAAAAAAAAATGAATACCCAGAAGTTAGGTATTGTCAGGGACAGAACCTGAAGTGTGGAAATAGCAGTTGAATTCTGAGTGAGACAAGAATGAAAGCAAACTAAGTATTTTACAGTCAAACGGTTGTTAATATCTCCATCCTTTGTTTCTTTGGACTAGGCCTCCTCATGCCTACCATTGCTGCTGAAACATTAAGGAACTATAGCAAATACAAGATGTTGGAGTTGGCAGGCTACTTAAAAGAAAAAAAAAAGCTCATCACAAAATAAATCATATAAACAAAAAAGGGTATAGAACTGATACTCTTTAAAGAATTAAAACATTTAAATGGCAGGCTGCATTCACTTACCAAGAACAAAAAGAGACTATTTCTTGTATATATGCCATATCAACATTTATTTCTCACCAGTTTCTTCCCTGTCCATCTTCCACAGAGGTAAGCACTTTCTTGGATTTTCTAATTTTCTGTTAACTCCAGCATCTTGCTCATTTCTTGCTGGGTTGTCTACCTTTTATTCATTGTTTTGTAGAGAGAAGAAACCATCACATGTTACTAGTAAGAGTGTATATTCATGCAACCTGTTTGAAAATAAATTTGGCATAGCTAGTAAAATTAAACATGAGCAAAATCTTTTAGATTTTTGCCAATCTGATGAGTGAGAAGTGATGCACTGCTTAAGGTTTTAGTTAGCATTTCTCTCAGTTCAGTTCAGTTCATTTCAGTCACTCAGTAGTGTCTGACTCTTGGCAACCCCATGGCCTGCAGCACACCAGGCTTCCCTGTCCTTCACCAACTCCGGAGCTTGCTCAAACTCATGTCCATTGAGTCAGTGATGCCATCCAACCATCTCATCCTCCATTATCCCCTTCTCCTCCTACCTTCAATCTTTCCCAGCATTAGAGTCTTTTCCAAGGAATCAGTTCTTTGCATCAGGTGGCCAACGTATTGGAGATTCAGCTTTAGCATCAGTCTTTACAATGAATATTCAGGACTGATTTCCTTTTGGACTAACTGGTTTGATCTTGCAGTCCAAGAGTCTTCTCCAACACCACAGTTCAAAAGCTTCAATTCTTTGGTGCTCAGCTTTCTCTATAGTCCAGCTCTCACATCCACACATGGCTACTGGAAAAACCATAGCTTTGACTAGACAGACTTTTGTTGGCAAAGTAATGTCTCTGCTTTTTAGTATGCTATCTAGGTTGGTCATAGCTTTTCTTCCAAGGAGCAAGTTCTTTTAATTTCATGGCTGCAGTCACCATCTGCAGCGATTTTAGAGCTCAAGAAAGTAAAGAAGTACATCAAGGCTGTATATTGTCACCCTGCTTATTTAACTTATATGCAGAGTACAGCATGTGAAATGCTGGGCTGGATGAAGCACAAGCTGGAATCAAGATTGCTAGGAGAAATATCAACAACCTCAGATACGCAGATGACACCTCTCTTATGGCAGAAAGTGAAGAGGAACTAAAGAGCCTCTTGATGAAAGTGAAAGATGGGAGTGAAAAAGCTGGCTTAAAACTCAAGATTCAAAAAACTAAGATTATGGCATCTGGTCCCATCACTTCATGGCAAATAGACGGGGAAACAATGGAAACAGAGAGATTTTAGCATTTCTCTATCATGAATTATTTCAAGCATTTTTCATATCTTAAAAACTACTTATATTTCTTTATCTGAAAACATTATTTCTTTTGCTCATTTTCCTATATATTCAATAGTTTTTTTCTTGTCAATTTCTAGCACTCCTTACATATTATAGAGAAAGGTCTTTATCTGTGATATGGCTTGTAAGTAAAAATTTTAACTCATTCTTAGACCTGCTCAAAATAGTTCAGGGTGGCACTCTTTTCTCCTCTTCTTTAGATAATGCCTACTGTTGTTCAATTATTTCTGCTCTGGACTTGTGCATTTCTGCTTCATAATATCCTTAAATTGGTGAAATTATTTCATTAATTTTTCAATTCATGTGCCAAAAAAATCTAAATGCTGCAAAAGGATCATAGAAAAAATAACTTTCTAAACTGAAACTGCCACAAGAAAAAGTACAAAATCATTTCAAAGATGGAAAGAATAGTCAACAATATTTGACCAAAAAAAACCCACCAGGATCAGACCTCTTTGTAAACATATTCTATAAGGCAAACAAGGAACAACTAATTCTAATATGACATAAATAGAAAATAAGAAACAATTCCCAGCATGTCGTATGAAGTAAACATAATCTTGATACCAGAGCTTAATAAGGACTTATGTCAATTATATGCCAATAAAGCTGTTTAAAAATAAAATTATCAACAAGGATTCTATGAAAAAGGAAGATTTTAAGTAAATTTTATTCATAGAACATAGATTCATGAACAGAAAAAATCAACTATGTTCATAAAATTTCAAACAAATCTACAGATAATTGTTAGAATCAATGAGAATTTATCACAACAGATGCATACAAAGGAAATATATAAAACTCAATGGTCTACATAAATCAACAACACAAATCAGCAAATGAAATTTCAATAATTTTTATAATCATGTAAAATATGAAGAGCTTATAAATACACATAATAGATTTTGTGCAGAATTATTACAAAGAAAAATATAAAACTTTAGTGAGAGACATTTTTTAACACCCCCAAATCAGAAATGTATACCATGTTCATGGATTGCAAGACTCAATATGATAGGTACGTCAATTCTCTTCAAATTGATTTTCAGTCTCAATGCAATCAAACCCCCAGGAAAGTTTTTATAAAAGTAAGCCAAGAGAAACTTGGCAATACTGTTTATAATAGCCAGGACACGGAAGCAACCCAGATGCCCATCAGCAGACGAATGGATGAGGAAGCTGTGGTACATATACACCATGTAATATTACTCAGCCATTAAAAAGAATTCATTTGAATCAGTTCTAATGAGATGGATGAAACTGGAGCCCATTATACAGAGCGAAGTAAGCCAGAAAGATAAAGACCATTACAGTATACTAACACATATATATGGACTTTAGAAAGATGGTAATGATAACCCTATATGCAAAACAGAAAAAGAGACTCAGATGTATAGAACAGACTTGTGGACTCTGGGAGAAGGCGAGGGTAGGATGTTTCAAGAGAACAGCATTGAAACATGTATATTATCTAGGGTGAAACAGATCACCAGCCCAGGCTGGGTGCATGAGACAAGTGCTCAGGCATGGTGCACTGGGTAGACCCAGAGGGATCGGGTGGAGAGGGAGGTGGGAGGGGGGACCGGGATGGGGAATACATGTAAATCCATGGCTAATTCATTTCAATGTATGACAAAAACTACTGTAATGATGTAAAGTAATTAGCCTCCAAGTAATAAAAATAAATGAAAAAAAAAAAATAATAAAGAACCTGACCCAAGACACTGGGGAAAAAAAAAAAAAAAAAGAAACTTGGCAATGCAATTCTATAATGCATACAAAAAATGCAAAAGGCAAGATAGCCAAAATACTCTTGAAGAAGAATAATTTACTAAGACTTGATGTAGGAGATATCAAGTTTTATTTTAAAGCTGTAAAAAAAAAAAGCTGTAATAATTATGATAAAGTGGTATTACAACCATAGATATGCAAATGAAAAAAAATAGAAAATCACCAGACAGATGACTTGCACATAATAAGCGTATGTTCCTAACTTGGCTATAGTAAACAAATACCGCTACTGTCATATTAAGAAGGCTGCACATCATAATATTAATATACTTTCCCTAAGTGGTTGAAGGAGGATACAGGTTAAGAAGGCAGGATAGAAGAAAGGAGAAGAAAATAAATAAATAAGTGTTGCTTTATCAAAAAACTCATCATGTCT